ATGGAGTAACGTAGTGTAATGAGAGACCTGATTTTAATTAGATTGCCAGTTCTCAAACCAGATGATAACATGGATTAGGAATTTGTTGAAGGATAGGGGTAAAAGTAAACGGCAAGCAGTCTGAATGGACACAGGCATAATTAGGAATCCCACAAGGATCAGTCCTTTAGTTTAAACATATTTTATTGATACAAAAGGATTGGGCACAAGTTATTAAACTTATATGAAGCCCTCTCCAACACATGTTACAAACATTTATATTAACAATTCGAAGATGGCAGACTTTCAACATCGTGATAACAAGTATATTAAAAACAAAATATTATTGTACAGGCATGTTGTTTCTATCATATTCAACTAGAGTGAGAACATGAAAGGGGATAGAGAGAAACAGAGAGAGACAGAGAGAGAGAGAGAGAGAGAGAGAGAAGAGAGGGAGACACAGAGGGGGGAGGGGGTTAGACTCTTTTCGTATTGTCAATGTATTTCTGAGCATAATTAAAAATGTGTTCATTATCATTATTAGATAAGTTTGAATCACCAAACATCAAGGTTTGTAGGCTGAGTGGAATGTATGCATTCAAATTCCTGAAAAGTTCAACGCGTTGTCGGGCATAGAGATTACAGTTAAAAAAATAATGGTTTGCATATTCACAGTAAAAACCGCATTCACAACGTTGTTCATTAATAATGTTCACTTTGAATAAATCGTGTTTAAGAGAACTTGATTTGTTTCTTAATCTACAGTGTAAGATGTTAGTTTTCCTGTCACCAAAGAGAAAGAGATGTGAAAAATTTGAAACGTGTTTTTTACGCAGAGTATCTCTGAACGTGCTAAAAGTTCCTAACTGTCTAATGTTAGTATCTAAATGGTTCCAGAGTCTTATAGTAGCTGGGAAGTAGGAGTTGTTTGTTATTTCCAGTCGGTTATTGGGTAGCGTGTAATTTTCGGAGTTTCTTAGAGTGAATCTGGAGTTTTCAGAATTTAAAGGTGGAAGAAGGTCAGAAAGGTATGGTGGGGCTAGTCCATTGTGTATTTTGTAGAACAAATGTAACTTCCGTCCAGATCTACGGTCAGATAATGGTTCCCAGCCAGTTTCAGAGTATAGAGATTGTCTGCTTGTATATGAGGGAAGTCCTGTGACTATCCTGGCGGCTTCTTATTGAATTCTTTCTAGTTTATCAGCATCTGCAACACTACATCCATCCCATAGTTCACAACAATACTCTAAAGTTGGTAGAATATATGATTTATATATCTTATCTAAAGTCGTGCGATTTAGAGTATACTTTAGCTTTCTTAAAATACCAATAAGTTTTGCAGCCTGTGTTGATATATGTTCGATATGGTGGCTCCATTTACAGTTGAAAGCAAAAAATACACCTAAATGTTTATGGTGGTCAACAAAATCTACACTTTCATTATTAAAATTAATGTCAATAACGTGGTCTAGTTCTATGTTAGAAATCAGCAGAACTTCTGTTTTGGTCTGATTAAATTTGACTAACCATTTATTTGCCCACTGCTGGATAGTGGTAAGATCATTGTTAATTTTGTTTTCAATAACTAGTGGGGATTCATCTGAACATAATAAGGATGTGTCATCAGCAAATAGTTTTGAGATACAATTGAGATTATCAGTAATATCATTAATGTACAAAATGAATAGTAAGGGTCCGAGGACTGAACCTTGAGGAACTCCTGCATTTATTTTCCTTAAAGAAGATCTGCTGTTTCCCACAAAAACTTGTTGTCGTCTGTCAGTAACATAGTCAACTAACCAGTGTAGTAATTTACCTGAAATACCATAGCTGAATAGTTTCACTTCCAGCCCTTTATGCCATACTCTGTCAAAGGCTTTAGATATATCACAAAAAATTAGACAAGTTGGATGTTTTTTTTCTAGATTTTCACAAATTTGATGAAAAATTTCAATAAGTTGATGGACAGTGGAATTACCTGGCTGAAATCCTGATTGGTATTTGTAGATAAGAGAGTTTTCTATCAAATAATTATGTAGAAATTTAGTTACTACTTTTTCGAATACTTTCCCAACTGTACTGAGTAAAGATATAGGTCGGTAATTAGAGGGTTTAGATTTGTCACCTTTTTTAAAACAGGGCATCACTAGAGCATGTTTCCAAGCGTTAGGAAAAAATCCAGTATCGAGAGATGTCCTAAAAATACGAAACAATGGCACTGCGATCGAATGGGCTGTATTTTTTAACATGTTATTACTAATAGTATCAGGACCAACAGCTTTATTAATATTTAGGGATTTCAAAATATCGGTTATGTCATTAGTCGTAAAATATATGTCTGTTAAGGAGGAGTCCGTTCTGGTGTCAGCAGTCGGTACTTCAACGTTAGAATCGTCAATCGTTGATATAGACACAAAATAATCGTTTAGAATGTTAGATTTTGTTTCGTCGGACGTTTCTATGTCTCCGTTCGTCGGGTTCGTTAGAGGTGGAATAGAGTTTGATTTGTCAGAAGTCTTAATTAGGTTACGAACAGTTTTCCAGAATTTTTTGGGGTTCGAGTCAGTAAAGCTGTCTAAGAGTCTATTTATGTTCGCATAAAATAGTTCTTTAGTACGTTTCTTAAGGTTATTGACGTGGTTACGTTGTCGTCTAAATCGGTCATGATTATTGTCCGTGCGGTTGTTTTTAAATATCTTTAAGTAACGAACTCTTTTCCTTATTTCTCGTCGAAGTTCTGAATTAAACCAGGGTTTGTCAGTCGGTCGTATAGTAATTGTTTTTGTCGGGATACATTGGTCTGCTAAATTTAGAAAATGTTCAGTAAAAAGATCACACATATCGTTTGCAGACCGTGTCCGTGAAAAAAAATCAGTCCAGTCAGTAGAGTTTAGTAGATTATTGAACTGTTGATAATTAGCTTCATCATAACATATGATTTTTCTTTTATATTTTCTTACAAGTCCCGTGTCTATGGTCAAGTTTACTAGAGTCGCGTCATGGTCCGAGATGTTACGGTCTACGTCGATCGTATCAGCAAGTACATACAGGCACATGTCAGAAAGTAGTATTGGGTCAAGTAGTGAGGCGCGCGTGCGACCTGTCCTAGTCGGTTTATCTATAACGTTAGTCAGATGGAAGGAGTTCATTATGTCAACGAGTCTGTGATTATTGTCTACAGTCAGAAGATCAACATTTATGTCACCTACAACTATTACATACGGATTCTCGTTTAGTGCTTTTTCCATAGCATATTGGAAGTTGTTCCAATAAGACGGTATACAGTTTGGGGGTCTATAGGTGGTACACAATAAGAGTTTTCTGTGAGGAAACTGGATTTCTAACCATAATACTTCGCCAACCTGGAACTCAAGGTCTGGTCTACGACAAGTGGATAAGAGGCTGGAAGTGTAAACATTTATCCCCCCACCCGGAGCACCACGGTCTTTACGATATAAGTCAAAGTTGTCTAAGAGAATGTCATCGTCTGCTACAGAATTGTCAAGGTGAGTCTCTGTTATACATATAATATCATAGTCACTAGCTAGTTGTTCTACAGAGGAAAGTTTGTTTCTCAGACTACGAATATTAAGATGGAATATAGAAAGGTCTTTATCATGATTTTCAGGGCCGGGATTAGGTTGTACATCATTACAAGAGAGAAGTAGTAACTGCATGATTAGGAGAAAGTCAGAATTATTGACTATACAAGATAATATATACCATAAAATATAAATACTCCGTGAATATGTATACATAACACACAGCCTACATTTACCCAGAATAGATTGTAACTTAATAGAAATAAAACATTTTGTAACAGTGAAACCATCAGTCCTTGGGCCAATAGTGTTTGTAATGTTTGTAAACGATCTTAAGCTTCCGGATAAGGTTATCTCCCCAATGTTCCTATTTGCGGAGGACACCAAAAAAAAATCACAGAGAAAGAAGAGGACAGGTCATTGCTACAAAACGATCTAGACAGTATGGAAGAAAAGAGCAAGGAATGGTTACTAAAAGTACACGCATGCATATATTGGTAATACTACAAAGGAAACACATTCGTCGTACTGTATCAATTAACAGGTCTTAGAAAAATAAAATCAAGAGAAATATGTAGGCGTCACAGTAGACTCTAACCTCTCATTTGGCGATTGTCTGCTCAGTGAAAAAAGAAGAAGTTGACAAGGCCAAATCCTTACTTGCCATGTTGAGGAGAGCATTTCAGTATATGACTGGAAAAACATTTGTACCACTCTATAAAAACAAACTTGCTAGGGATCACTTGGACTTCGCCTGACCTGTCTAGTCAATATTTAGACTCAATGAGACAGAAAATGTGGAAAAAGTACAGAAAAGGGCAACGAAAAGATTAGAAAATTAATCAATCTGAACCAGAAATAAACTTATCTGAAATATTATTACAAAGAAGAATGTTTATCGAAAAATAACACATTTTAAAAGGGAATTCACATAAAAAGCAAACATAGAATTAAAAAAATAGCAAGTGGGGCACGTTTGTGCCGTTCACTAGAAATTTAATTTAATTAAATTTAAACGAAACGAAAGTAGAACCCAAGAGTTATCTACCTTTAGAGTGTGTTGGTTCCGTGAATCGATGCATCAAGTTGTTTTTCACGATTTTCTCTCGTAAATTCAAACAATCAAAACGTAATATAAAGTTTTAATCATCTGAATTGATCATACATCTCTTCAAGTGTTTCAAAATAGGAAAATCAGTGTAATACAACGTCCGATTCATCGGTAACAGTAGAATAACTACGGTAATTATACTCGTAACTGGCTACACAGGTAGGCCTGCAGTGGTACATGAACACTTACTTGTCATACTTTCTGTTGAAGACGTGTACAAAAATCCAACTGAATATGAGAGACCGTGAAACACATTGGAAACAGTTCTGTTGGTAGCGTTACCTGTGTGTGAAACCAAAGCACGGATATTTGTATTGGAATCCGCTTCATGAACTATACAACTTCCTGTTTAATGATAAAAATTGACCAATCAAATGTTGAGTACTACGACAGTCCGGTACAGATCTGTCAAGATGGCTGTGTTTAGGTCGGACCCGTGTGGTATCGTGTGTTTGATCATCACGTATGCCGCCGTGCTGTACGCGGACTATGTCGTCGTGCGGCACCTGGTCATACCCACAATGTCGGATACGTGAGTATAGTTTTGAGGGTGACCAACAAACGTTTCCGGTTAAATTTAGGATATTTACTCCCGAAATCAGTGAAGGAGAAGTGTATTTACATGACAGCTACAGTACTACAGTTGAGTAAATTGGATGTATTCTCGTTATCAACATTGAATATAGTATCTGTCGTGTAGATAACATACATACAGTACTGTATTGTATACATGGAAAGTTGAGAACCATATAATACACGTATAATTAATTGATGCGATGAACATTTTAAAATATTTTTGTTGACAGCAAATTAGAATGTCACATAAAATATGTAAAGGAAATATAAATAAATATTAATAAACAGTTAATCTAGCCCGATTATTCGTAGTCCAGACTTTTGACAGGTACATGTAGTGATCTGGCACAGCTCAAAACATCTGTTTCTTTTTCTTCAAAAGTATATACTGATTCTACTCCATCAATGTTAGAGGTTTACACTGCGAGATACATTTGTCAGGCGCCATGTAACAGTCAGCAAAATCATATCCGATAGAAAAAGGCTGACCAGCGGCCTCTTATATTATAGGAGTAATACGTATACTGATTCCTGCAAACACATGTCAGATGATCGAGTGTTGTGTAGCGGAACTGGGCTGGGTCGATAGTCGGCGACCAGATGGCGCAGCTCAATTGTTAGAGTGTCCGTCTAGAGTTTGGAGGGTTCCGGGTTCAAACCTTGGGCTGGCCGTGCATTTTTCCTTTCCTGTTACAGTTGAAAACCTAATACTTAAACAAAAATAGTTCCTCAAAGTTGAAGATCAGTATACTTTCACATTTCTCAGCATTTTCAGTCAAATATCTTAAATACTGATGACAATGTTAGTCGTGTTATCGATTTCAAGTGTTTTTTTTTACTTAATTCCTACTAAAAAAAAAATAATGTGATATAGTGTGTATATATATAGTTGAGCAACTGATAACTTAACTATTTTATCACATTGTGGTACAAATTGTCACTCATGCAGTCAATGCTGGACGTTAAGGGACCAGTTGGTCTTGCAATATTGTGACACGTTTGATATATATGTAACAGAGGTCATTATTTTTCAATGCCATCACTAGTAGTCAAACCCAGGACCTCTGATTTACTAGTCGCACACTCTACCAAATGAACTAAAGAGAAATGTTCCCTAGCTGAGTCGATAGAGAGCTGCTTGTATCTTACCAGGGTGATACCGACACATACACTACATGTATGAAGCAAAACATTGTTGGACATCTTTGTTGTTGCAGGTTGTGGGGAGTGGTTAACGTGGTGGCATTCAACGTTATTATCTTCCTGCTCACGATGTCCCACATGCGGGCGGTTGTGTCTGATCCGGGTATAGTCCCACTACCCACAACGGGTCTCGACTTCTCAGACCTCCATGCTGGCAAGACTATGCCTAATATGGTAAGGACTTTTCGGACCACATGAAATACATTTTATCTCATAATATTGTTAGTTATACAGGTCTTTGGCAGGGTACATGGTCTCATGTTCGCTGTCAGGACCTTATGTACCCTGAGCCAAAAGACCTGTATAACAAATTTGTCATACTGCAAAGCCATTTATAGGTTGGGACTCGTGTTTGCCAGAAAACAGATACTGTGTAGGGCGGTAGAACGGGAAAACAGATCTAATTTTTTTGTATAATTCCAACAATTTAATAAAAATTTAAATTATGATAAGTCAACAATATGTTTTTGAAACAACATTAAATAACAACTCAGTTCCTAACAAACCGTTTCGCCATATCGTTGATTGTAGACATTAGCAGACGAACGTTCTCCGGTGTGTTCGATTCAAATCTTCGAGTTATCTCCCTTACAACAGGCGCGCATGCTCTTATGTACCCCGGCAAGGATACTAACATAGCTTCAGGTACCTTGGCAATTTGACCAATCACCGTGCGACATTTTTATTTGCAGTATGACAAACTGTTATCCATTGAATATACCAATGTCATATTTTTTGGCGTATCAGCCCTGTGATTGGTTGTAAGCTTCAATTGTGATGTCACGCCTAGGACAAATACATGACGTCACAGTTTTATGCACTGGAGTCAAATTGGCAGCTTTTTATGTTTCAAGGTTGCATGAAATTTGTTGTTTTACACGAATAAATGCCACAAATCTTGGTTATGTGATAAAAAGGATCTTACACTCGTTTTCATTTCATATGAAATTTATGAAACATTGTCACAAATCTTTAATGTCAGCTCGCCAGAGGCTCGCTAAATTGAAGAATTCTTAGACTCGTTTCATAAATCTCATATGAAATGGAAACACATGTAAGATCCTAAATGTATAATAATAAAACATAAGATCTTTGAACTAACTTCAAGGTCATATGTAGCATTTGTAAAACTTGCAAAATAAAAAAATCTTGTGTTTCAGCTAACCCTACCTACCTTTGATTTTTGTGCTCACCCTAAAGTTTTTATTGACATTTAGTGATTCACTGTAAAAGTCAGAACTCCTGCTCTATAAAATTAAAGGAAACAATTTCCCTCCAAACGAAATGCCAACCTACCATATATTTTTTTCTGATGATAATGGCGTAAAGCTGGAAACACAAGTAATGTTTTTGGCCTTATTTCATCGGAGAATATAACTACAATTCAAAATTTAGCAATGTATACATATAAAGCAAATGAAATTAGAAAGTAATTTTAAATTAAAATTATGTACATTCAAATATCTCAGTCAGTATACGTAGCTAGCCCTGCCTCAGTCACAATGATGTAATACCTCTTTCAATGGTGTTTTTAACCGTGTAAAAAAAGCTATGTACAGATTTTATTAAGGCTGACTGTTGAAAACTTGTCGGAACTTATTTTGTTCCACTTCTATATTACAAGTATTGTGAATGTATGAAGCACAAAGACAATAACGTCTATTGCAAATGAAGTTTATTATTATCACAAGCCTACTCTATCATGCTGAGTTTAGTGACTGTCAAATTTGTAAAATTGAATTACACGTACAATGTACCTTGAACCACTTTCAAAAAAGCTTTAAAAAAAAATGGGAAAATCTTGTTTTTGATCGTATTAATAATATTGTTTTATTCAGAGACGTTAGTAAATGTCCGACTGCTAAACATGCTTCTATTGTTAAGAGAGACGGCTGGACGGTGTGTATGAAATGTGAGACATACCGACCACCGAGGGCTCACCACTGTAGGATTTGTCGGCGATGTATCCGCCGGATGGACCACCATTGTCCGTGGTAGGTAGAGAAGGTCATCTGGATGTATTTAGAGAGACGGTCAAGTTTGATTTGTTTAGGAAAACATTATTTGTTTCATTTATTTATGTATCCAAACAAGGAAAATTTAGGAGAAGATGTGATAGTTTTGTAACAGGAGTAAGAGAAATGCAATGGCCAGACCGAGGTTCGAACCTGGGACCTTCTGAACTCTAGACAGACGCTCTAACCCATTGAGCTATATGCTTACCAGCGATCGACCCAGTCAAGTTCTGCTACAACTTTGAATATATTAATTATGGTTTAATCCTGGTACAGGTCGTGTGATAATTAATTATACTATTGATTATGATTTTATTTTCAAATATATATTAAACCTTTCTCCAAAATATTCTATGCTTGAGCAGAATCATATATTGGGACAATGTAACAAAGTTTTACTGATAATTATTCAATGTATCTTCAGTGTAACCATATATATATATGTATACACATTCACATCCTCGATATCCAGGGGTTACGCTCACTTTCACTCTCTACACCCCTGGAATATGTCATAGCAAAATTGAAGGTACAAAGAAAGCTGTTTGATTGGTGTCAGGTAAAATAGAGTGACCAATCGCTAGGCTGATACCTGTCCTTTGAAGATTACAAATTTGAAGGAGAGACGCCCGACTTCAAAGCCTGTCAATTTTTACCGTTACGTGACCGCGAGATTCTTTTGATGTACATCAAAGGATCGAACTAGTCTTCTTGTCTCATCAACAAGGTGGCACACCGAGCCTTCAATTTTGCTATGACAGATTCCAGGGGTGTAGAGAGCGAAAGTGAGCGTTTTTGCTATGACAGATTCCAGGGGTGTAGAGAGTGAAAGTGAGCGTAACCCCTGGATATCGAGGATTACACATTCGATACTAAAAAGGTCAAGAAAACTTGCAGAAAAGTTGAATGTAACATTACGTTTTGATAAGTTTGATGTAACTTTTATTCCTGAGATGGTGAATATTGGTTGTGGTTTTGGTTCCAGAAAATACATATAGCTTTCTCTTTTTTGTAGGATCAACAATTGTGTTGGTGAATTTAATCAAAAATATTTCATCCAGTTCTTATTCTATGTTGGTGAGTAGATGTCCCGGCTATGATCTGGGATTTAATTGACTAGCACTAAATTAAAGTTGATGTCATCTGTTGACATGGTTGATTACATACATTGTATGTTGTTTGAATTATGGCCTTGGTAGCTATTGTAAAACGATTGCTTGTAATTTCTACTGTTTGTAATTAATGTAATTCCTTATGCAAGTAAACAATGTTACTATCTACTGTTGATTAAAGATATTGATTTCAACCATAACTGTGTAATACTGAAATGAGAGGCAAAACTTGGAAATTGTACCGGATAATCAAGTAATGTTTCTGTAATTCTGTGTTGTTCCTGTGGTTACCAATACAGTGTATAAGGAGAATGTAAGTAAATGACATTTATGTCTACCGTGTAATGTTACTGGGATGATCCGCTGAGCTTGAACAAATTATATTTTCTAGGAATCCTCAGTGCGTACGCTACAACCATGGTGGTCGTGTCATGGATGATGGATCCCGGAGTAAAAGGCAACGGAAAACACGTAAAATTGTAATTATCCCCCAGTTTGTTGGTTTATACACATATATGTATCTTTTATTTAGCCGAGATTTTATTTTATTCTAAATTGGATATACAGACAATAACATGTTCAGTATAATTATTTTATTACAAGCTTTATCGTATAACAGAATCATATTTATGTTCTCAGGCCAGGATTTATCTCACATTTATTTACACATTTGTTCCATTGGATTTTAAAATTTAAGGTAATGGTGAGTATCCATAGATGATGCTACTACCGGGTATATATAGAGATATTTTAACAGGATTTGTCATAGTACCATACAGCAAAGACAAGTGAACAGCTTTATTTAATAGAATGATAAACTATTTTACCAGTGCCGGTGTGTAAGGGAATGTAATGTTAGTGATGGTGAGAATGATAAACTATTTTACCAGTGCCGGTGTGTAAGGGGATGTAATGTTAGTGATGGTAACACTGCATGCATTGACACAACCCCAGATTTTATTCCTGATAGAAATTGAAATTCATTCGGTAAAGAATTCATTGGGAACATTTTGGAACAGAAATTCAAGGTTATAAAATAAATAAATATGCCAGACCAAACACTTGTGTTTTTTTGCAAATACCAGGAACTTTTCAGTTCGCCATGACAAGGGGATTCCTATTAAATTTAGTTCCCGCTAGTAGGTAAATACAACATTCCGTATTGCACATGTGCAGTACAGAACGTTGTATTTCATGGTCTGAAAATTGCTTTTATTACTATAACAATATTCAACAGGTATGTGATAAAATCTGTTTTTGCATAAAAACTAAATCTTTATCACCCCACAAAACATACTCCAGGAAAGATTGATGCTGCATAGTCAACACATAAATGTACATACTGTCATTTAGTAAACTTTGTTTTGACAATTTGACAGCTCGCATCAACCAACACATTGGTAAGTGTTGTCTGGCACTACAGTTACTTTATGTAATGTACTCAAATTATTGTTCTGTCTGTCACAGACAGTCGTGTAATGTAAACTGTTTCTTTGTCTTGTCATATGTAAGTAGCGTACACACAAAATCTTTTCTAAATTTCAATATTTCTCGTCACTGTTCGGTGTTGTATGGTAATGTACACAAGTGATGATTAGCATCATCAACTTTCCTGTAAAATCGCTTCTCTTTAACCCTTTCACCCCTAGGTAACTTTAGTGGACTCTAACATACATTGATCTGGATGAGTCCGTTATGGTCTACAGTGGTAAAAAGGTTAAGCAGTGTTTGCCTACAGTCTTTATCTTTTATCACTAGAACACTGGAGTATTATTAATTTAGGTGAAGTTGCACATTATTGCCTTGAAACAAATGGATTTTTTATGCGGGTCTGGAAAAATATCCAATACTTGATGTAGATTTAAAATCAAATATTGAAACAAAATGTTTGGTTTCCTGGAAAATTGCTTGAAGTGATGGCACAAGTCTTTGTAAAACTAAAATTGGGCCCAAGTTATCAATTTGGATACACATAGAATTATGAGACTAACCTGTAGAAAATTCAGATCCCTTGCAATATTTGAGCTTACTTTGATACATAAACTGGATTTACGCAACCACTGTCCCGAATACTTTAGCTTGTGATATAGCTTCATACAATTACCTTGTATCAAGTAAAAAAGAACTTTTTTTTTTTTTTTTATAGGAGTCAGTCCTGCAGATTTGTATGTCATTTACAAAGCTTCAGTGACTTACAGTGCTGACTTTGTCAAGTAGGGTAAATGTCCGTTGATGTTGATTTCTACATACATGTATTTGTGTATACTGTGAAGGTGTTTTTTTTGGAAATGTAAATTTAAGAATTCTATTATTCAGAACATACAATTAGGTATTTGAAAGAGTCACTTTTTGCTGTAAAATAGGATTAAAAAAGAAAAGTGAAAATTAGATAGTTTTTAAAATACCCACCTTTGCAGTATTTAGTGCACTCACAGTATGGTACCATATATACCATAGTTTGAACTTTTCCAGGGTGATTTCTGTTTTCCAGGCTCACATTTATAATGCACCAGGCTCACTCAACCAATAAATCAATCAAAGAATTGGGTCAGCACTTTCTTTGAAAAATGCACTACAACTACATTTAGAGGTCAGACATGCATAGGTAGTTGTTAAAAATCAGGATCAGGATAAATCTAACAGGGTACATCAATCGCAACAAACTAGGGACTGGTTTTCTTGTGTTTATTGGTGTGGTCTACCGGTTTCGCTGACCATTGGGCTTCGTCTACCCTAGGACTTTGTAGGATCAGGATAAGATCTATTGTCATAGAATATTCTAATTATGTATTTTGTTGTGAATCCCTGTATCAATGGACATTTTATATGACATTACTTTTGTGTATCACAGTAAATGTATCCGTGTAATCTGTATTACTTTCCTTTCTCACTTGAAACATATCACTTCTCTTACTTAAAATGTATGACGAGGACTGCTGACTAGGCTACATAGCTGTCAATTCTGAGGACAAAATAATGTTCACTATACAAAGCTGTCAATTCTGAGGACAAAATTATGTTCACTATACAAAGCTGTCAATTCTCTGGACAAAATTATGTTCACTATACAAAGCTGTCAATTCTGAGGACAAAATAATGTTCACTATACAAAGCTGTCAATTCTCTGGACAAAATTATGTTCACTATACAAAGCTGTCAATTCTCAGGACAAAATGATGTTCACTAAACAAAGCTGTCAATTATCAGGAAAAACTTTTGTTCACTTTACAAAGCTGCTAATTCTCAGGACAAAATTATGTTCACTACAAAGCTGTCAATTGTCAGGTCAAAATGATGTTCACATCAAATTCAAAGCTGTCAATTCTCAGGACAAAATGATGTTTACTACTGGGGACAAAATGATGTTTACTACTGGGGACTAAATGATGTTCACTACAAATATATGACCAGAATGTGCCTGTGAAAGTGATCACTGTGTTGAAATTTTCATGTTGGCAATGGGAATGAAATTTATATATTCCACATTGTGTATAGAAATAGGTCTCATAAGTAATAATGACAGTATGTACCAATATTGGCACTGGATCCAAACAAACAGATGAATCGACATATGGGTCATTAGGACATTGCAGACAAATTTCAGGGCGATCCGCCCCTTTATCAAGACAGGAACATGAAAATGTACATATCAAAACATATAACAGAGATAAACAGTCACTTTGAAACAATAATACAACATAAAATACATAAACAAAAGAAAACAGTTATCACTTATAAAATATGCTGCTATTATCGCATATCCCTTTGGTTAGCTTGTAATCAAAGGCTTATTATTGTGACAAATTCCTCTTGAAGAAGTGGGGTCAACATAAGTGAATTTAAAAAATTTGATAATTGTAGTGAGAAGATCTGTAGCGGTAGTTTGTATAAACCTGTCTTAAAAAAACTGTATGAGACGAGGTGTCTCTTCACATTAAAATATATTCTATACATACATGTATTTGCTTTTGGACATTTTGCAATGCAAATTATGCGAGCATTTCCACACCACTATAATTTCCACATTAATGGTAGCCTCTTAGGTAGACAGTACAGCCTAACCTCTTCCCCACAACAGCTGAGGTCATTAACCCATTCACCCCTTAAGTCGCATTTGAACCTTACCAAATCAAACACTGGGCAAGTCCAGTTTAAATATGTAGGGGTGGATAAGTTGAAGACATTAAATTGTGAGATGTTTGGTTTATTTTGTAGGATACATTCTGTGTTATTAGTGGTGGAATCGCTACTGTTCGGGATGTTTGTGATCGCCATCGGGTGTGACCAGGTTTGTTTAATGTATTTTACTGCATATTGTAAAGAGTCCAGGATAATGTTACTAATAATATAGAGTATTGATATTTTTCACGAGTGCCCACTCTATATAATTAGTTTTGATTATTCCCAGCTCTTTGATTCAAACATTATTTTATTTTACTAAGTTTAATTTTGTCTGTTCCAATCTCTTGTTTTATGACTCCATATTATTAGCTGTCAACTCTCCCTCATTAGGAGGGAGACTCCTTCGTTTTGACAAAAAAATTAACCACCTCCTCGGAACTCCCTCATTTAAGTCCAAACTTGCACAAACTCAATATTTACCTCCTGTGGTCAAATGATCTCCTAGTTACTGAAGGGTGTGTGTTATGATCATAACAGCTGTGTCAGAATCAAATGAATGCTTTTTGGGGTTATTTTGAAACATAAGAAGGGAAAGATAAATTGAGCAAAGCAGTTTCAGTTGCATTTCACGCACTTTCTCCATCTTTGGAAATGTAGTATAAGGGAGATCGCCCTCATTGGAGCATTTAGAGGTTGACACCTATGCATATTGAGATAGATCATAAACTACTTTGACATGTCTGTACAGCTGTTTTTCTCTGTGATTTAGATGGGTGCTATATTGAGTGACGAGACTGCGGTAGAACAGGTGAAAAAAGCAGGACCGCGGCGACAGAAAAAGTCATCATATGCTTTAATGCAGGAAGTGTTTGGTCGAGGTAATTTATAATTTAAGAAGATATGTATGTTACTTAACATCCACAATTGGATATATTTTAAAAAATATACAATTTTTTTTCGTAAACAGAGTAACTTCCCCCTAGTTTTGTTTTGAATGTAACTGTAGCACTGCTGGACCAAGCCCGAGTTTCCTCTGGCCCTAACACCAAACTTAGTTATCTATCAGTCAAAATGTCTAAGTCTGGTGTCGGGGCCAGAGGAAACTGGCTATGTTGGGCCAGAATGCTTCCTTTGGCCAGGTAGCTCAATCGGTAAGAGCAATATAGTATAACAATCTGAATTTCAGGGGTTTGAATCCTGTTTTGCCTGTTGAATTTATTTTTATACTCGAAACACTGCTAATGATTGTACTGAGTTACAGTTTTTTGCAGTGGTACAGGGATCCTTAATCTGATAATTCTGATAATTCAGGATAATTGAAGTGATATCAATGTATATGCAACAGGGAAGAGAATAGTGTGCTTCCACTGGGGATCAAACCACGATCCCCAGGTTCCTAGTCGGACACTCTACCACTGAGCTAATGGGAGATCCCCCCTAGCTCGAAGCTAGAAGGCGACCGTAATCCTATTTACAATTAAAACCTGCCACATATACAAATGTACATAGCTCCGCTAAACATGAGTTACTATAGTTTGCATGTTTGAGGGATCATTTTGAAGATCTAACATATCACATTATGGTAGCTTACATAATATTTAATCATATTTTGTTTAATTGACAGGGCATCCGTGTTGGTGGCTGATTCCCTTACAGTTTAATCCAGTGGTCCAAGTCTATGAGACACAGTACACAGTATAGCCCAGGCCATATACCAATAGGGGAGGGGAGGGCTTGGGTTGGGAAGGGTCGATTGGTTTGAGAGAGGGGAGGGCTTGGGAAGGGTTAATTATTTTGAGAGGGGGGTGGGTCTTAATGAAAGTAAAGAGGAAGGGAATGGTTTTCTTATTCATCAATGTGCTGTAAATTTCTCTTTTGTTTTTACGTACTATTTATTATGTAACATTCCAAAGTTTTAAGCTTGATGATTATTGCATTTCTATTTTTCACAGCTTCTTCACAAGTAACTCACTACCAGTTTTTGATAATTAACGGAAACTTTGTTTGTTTTTCATCTGTTATCAACAGTTTACAAACATGTACATACAACAGATAGGTTTTGTTTTATACCAAATGAATCTAGTCTTTATATTCGTTTCATGTTAAGCAGTAGTCTATACTAGCATCAGTACCATGCTTTTCTTCATTTCGAATCAAAAGATTTACTAGTAAATACATTCACTTTTTTTCAATGTATCGACAGTAAGTCAGGCAAGCTTTTCGACACTTAGTGGATTTGAACTTAAGGTGGCTGCACTCTTTCGCAATTAACCAGCAAAATTCATTGAAACTTTCGCAAAATGGTTATGCAACTATGTAGAGTTGATTTTATGAAAAATTCTGAACTTTTTACAGAGGGATACAATTTACACAATGACAGTTATCTCTGTTATATATAACAAAAATGATGGCTATAAAAAAATCAAAATTATCAATTTATTGTTCTTTTATGGAACCAAATTACTCTCAGTCATGTACACTTTGGACATCATTCCACAGCCCGCTAATGCACAGTAAATTTACATGTCAGGTACATATGTGCCCACAGACTATCGCATAGTATGCCATTCACGTGCACTGACTGCACTCAAACATGCATTTTCATAGGGATCTAGATATTTTACAAAATATTATTTTCACAGAGTAATAACTAGACTTCAATTGTAAAAACGATTTAATCGACAGCGTGACTCGCTCAGCAGTGAAAATCGTAACGACCTCGAGCTTGTGAACTCGTGTAAGCATGTTAATTGAGTCTGAGCTGTACTTTTTCCATAAGTTTTTCATGAAAATGGACACTGATGACAATGTGTGGAGCCACCTTAAGTAGATTGGCAACAATTCCATGAGGTTTATGTTTTGTGGAATTGTTCATGCCACAAATATGGAGAAAATAAAACCAACATAAACATCTGTGTTATGAAGTAAAATTAGATGTTACACACTCAGTATACAAGCGTTATACAGTAACTTGAGAGATGACTCCATCAAACAGGGACAGTGTTACAAACCCTTCTGACTTTCTGTTTTTCTATCCAGTGGGAAGATTAATTTGTAATTTATGTTACGTTTTTATTGCTGAATTAAGATGAACATTATAAACAGGTGTCTCATTCATGACTGTAAACAGCTCCAGATATCCAGAGAGTTGCTATACAACGCTGAAATAGAACTTTTAGAGCAATGATTGTCCTAGCTCTATTATCTCCCCTTTTTATACGCCCGTCGAAGACGGGGACGTATTATGTTATCACGTGAGCGGGCCGGCGGGCAAACGATGTCCGCTCGATATCTTGAGTAATTATTAACTGATTAACTTCAAACTTCACAACAAGGTTAATTACCATGAAACCTCGGACAAGTTCGATAACCGCCATTATCCCACCATAATTTCTGGAGTTATGCCCCTTTACTTGCCGAAACAGTGTCCGCTCGATATCTCGAGTAATTATTAACGGATTAACTTCAAACTTCACAACAAGGTTAATCACCATGAAACCTCGGACAAGTTCAATAACCGCCATTATCCGATCATATTTTCAGGAGTTAAGCCCCTTTATGGACTTGGCGAAACAGTGTCCGCTCGATATCTCGAGTTATTATTAACGGATTAACTTCACACTTCACAACAAGGTTAATTACCATGAAACCTCGGACAAGTTCGATAACCGGCATTATCCGACCATAATTTCTGGAGTTATGCCCCTTTACTTGCCGAAACAGTGTCCGCTTGATATCTCGAGTAATTATTAACGGATTAATTTCAAACTTCACAACAAGGTTAATTACCATGAACCCTCGGACAAGTTCGATAACCGCCATTATCCGACCATAATTACTGGAGTTATTACCCTTGGTTTCATTAATGCGATGCATGCGTTCCATGATGTTGTATTGCACTCATTGATCTACCAGTTATGTTGAATGATTTCTCTTTTAATATCAATTACTCACAAATGCTTCATATATTTCAATCATACAAACAACTGCTCATTCAATGTGTGACGGGCGTATTATATACCGCTCGCGGTAACCTTGTTGAGACATGCAGAACTAGGAGAGTGAAACTTTTTCCTTGTTTTGACACGGAGAATGACAAAGTCCCAATCTCGCCCACTGATGCCACTAGTGAACATTTTTTAAAGAAATGAAAAAAAAATCACTGGTGAGCAAAACAGACCAATGTGGCCTGTTGTTTATTTAATTTAATTTTTTACTTTCTTTTTGTATTTTGAGGACTCCAGCAGGTCCTGCTGTATAATGTACTCACTTTTAAGTACCATTATAATTTCACATCCTCACAGGTATTGTTCCCTGTCATTTATAAATCATAATACATGTCATAATTAATCAAGAATCATTCCCATTTCTCCTACAGAGTGATTTTGCTTCTTTTGTACTTTTGGTATTATATTTGCTTGCTTGCTCACATGTCACAACAGAAAATTCAATATTTAGCATTTTTACCCAGGAATATATTAAGTTTTACATGAGTTAGTGTTATCTGGTGTTTGTTGAAGTAGCCCTTTTCACCAATCAGATCAATGCCTTATCCAGGAAATTTTTGCCACAGTTTAACATTTGCCTTTTTCACCTTCCGTAATTAGGGCAAATTTGTCAGCAGATACATGTACCTTGTTTATGTGGAACAGACAGTTTGTCTGTTTTTAAATGTAACATTTCGGGTATAAATCCTTGCGGATCTGCAAATGTTTATGCAGGCCCTGCAAGGCTTTGTCAAAGTGCGCCTGAAAGCAGCATCAGATTACTAGGTCCGACCTTATTTCATAAACAAACAACTCTGGTCCAACCAGTTCCTCCCTTTGGACCGCGATAAACGAAAACAGCTTAGTACACAGCATATCAAACAAAGTGATCAAACTTTAGGTGCAAAATTAACACGGGGTGAAAAAGGATCTGAAGTGGAAAATTCCCCTGTATACAGTAAATGTTCTGGAGACAGCAAATTGTTACTAGGAGGAGACACAATCTTTCTCTTTCTAACATACAAATCCTGTTTGTAGTAATGAAGCTTTTAACAAATTATGTCTGTGTTATGTTGATATTAAATATTTTGCTACTCAAAGTGATTTTGATAGATAGATATTCTCAAATTAAGATTTGTTTTGACGTTAGAGAACTTTGAACATTTGTAGACATGTAACTGCTGATAGTCAGAATGAACACCGGAGCACTTGACCGTCTTCTAGCTTTAGTGATAAGTTTGCTTCTATATAGAAGTTTTGTTTTTTTTGCCAAAGTATGTTTGTGTTTTAATTAATAATGTACATGTATGTAGCTTGTGTATGAAAGTGGTTTATTTTCAGTTACTTTTATAATTTATATTTTTTTTCTATATGTATTTTATAGATATATACAATGTACCATATGTCATTATGTATACATTTGTAAAATAATCTTGTAAATAGTGGATCCTTTTTTGATCGGTTGATAAAGCCCCTTCACATAGTGTAGTGTGTAACCCCGTAACAAACGTTACCTAAGTGGTCTCCGCAGTATAAACTTAGAGATCAATGTGAAAACCTAAGAGATCATTGTGAAAACTTAGAGATCATTGTGAAAACTTAGAGATCAATGTGAAAAATGTGAAAACTTAGAGATCAATGTGAAAACCTAAGAGATCATTGTGAAAACTTAGAGATCAATGTGAAAACTTAGAGATCAATGTGAAAACTTAAAAATCAATGTGAAAACTTAGAGATCAATGTGAAAACTTAAGAGATCATTGTGAAAACTTACAGATCAATGTGAAAATTTAGAGATCAATGTGAAAACTTAAAGATCAATGTGAAAACATTGCTACACTTCTGAGTCTCAAGAGATACAGGAATAGGATTACTCCTTTGTGTCACTAATGATAATTATATAATGAATCAGAAGTTATATTTAAAATTAGAATTTCCAGAGTTAGAGTAATAGAGTAATGATCAGAGGCTCATGGTTCGAATCTTAGTCTGGTCCTGTTGCAATCACTCTCCGAAGTCTCACAAAGTATGGGGATTTTTTTTTATCAGAAATGATTTATGAAACGTTTTCTCTGCTCAGCAATGTTAGAGATTTAACAGAGAGAGACGGGTACAATCATGTCTGATAAAGATAGCAGACCAGCGGCTTCTTATGTTATAGGAATAAGATATACTCATGCCAGAAAATAGTTTTTAAGCATACTTACAGTTTTTGGCTGTGGTATGGGAACACTTAAGCTCAATCTCTTTGAAACGGCTGACAGAAGTTACTGATAATTGATACGGCTGAAAGAAATTGGCTTTAATTGATACGGCTGACAGAAGTTAGTGTTCATTGATACGGCTGACAGAAGTTAGTGTTAATTGATAGGGCTGACAGAAGTTAGTGTTCATCGATACAGCTGACAGAAGTTAGCGTTAATGGATATGGCTGACAGAAGTTAGTATTCATTGATAGGGCTGACAGAAGTTAGCGTTAATTGATAGGGCTGACAGAAGTTAGTGTTCATTGATACGGCTGACAGAAGTTAGCGTTAATGGATATGGCTGACAGAAGTTAGTATTCATTGATACAGCTGACAGAAGTTAGTGTTCATTGATACGGCTGACAGAAGTTAGTGTTCATTGATAGGGCTGACAGAAGTTAGTATTCATTGATACGGTTGACAGAAGTTAGCGTTAATTGATAGGGCTTACAGAAGTTGGCATTAATTGATAGGGCTGACAGAGGTGAGCCTTAATTTATACGGCTGACAGAAGTGTAAATTGATACAGCTGACAGAAGTTAGCATTAATTGATACAGCTGACAGAAGTTAGTGTTAATTGATACGGCTGATAGAAGTTAGTATTCATTGATACGGCTGACAGAAGTTAGCGTTCATTGATAGGGCTGACAGAAGTTAGCATTCATTGATACAGCTGACAGAAGTTAGCGTTAAGGGATACTGCTGACAGAAGTTTGTATTCATTGATACGGCTGACAGAAGTTATTATTCATTGATACGGCTGACAGAAGTTAGCATTAATTGATACAGCTGACAGAAATTAGCGTTAATGGATATGGCTGACAGAAGTTAGTATTCATTGATAGGGCTGAAAGAAGTTAGCGTTAATTGATACAGCTGACAGAAGTTAGTGTTAATTGATATGATTTACAGAAGTTAGTGTTCATTGATATGGCTGACAGAAGTTAGCATTCATTGATACGGCTGACAGAAGTTAGGGTTAATTGATACGGCTGACAGAAGTTAGGGTTAATTGATATGATTTACAGAAGTTAGTGTTCATTGATACGGCTGACAGGAGTTAGGGTTCATTGATAGGGCTGACAGAAGTTAGCGTTCATTGATAGGGCTGACAGAAGTTAGCGTTCATTGATAGGGCTGACAGAAGTTAGGGTTCATTGATAGGGCTGACAG